GCCGCCGCCATCTTGGGGGGCGGGGAGGAAGGGCGGGGGTGGCCATGGCAACGGTCGCCGCGGAGACCGGATGCAGCGCGTCCGGCCACGCGCTCCGCCGCCCCCCCGCGCGGGGCGTTCACACGGCCGGGCCGGATCCGGATTCAGGTCCCGTTCCGCCTTCAGATTCCAACGGCTCTTCATCCGGATTCGGATATGGATCCAGATTCGGGTCCTGCTTCTGTGTCCAGATTCCGACGTGGATCCTGAGCTTGATCCGGATTCAGATGTGGATCCTGATCCAAATCGAGCTCCTGGTCCTGATTCAGATGCCAACAGATCCTGATCTGGATTTGGATACGGGTCCTGATCCAGGTTCAGATTCCAGTTTCGATACAGATCCAGATTTGAGTCCTGATCCGGGTTCGGATGTGGATCCTGATCCAGATTCCGATATGGATCCTGGTCCGGATTCGTATCCCAGTCCTGATTCTGATATGGATCCGGGTCCAAATTGAGGTCCTGATCCCGATTCAGATTCCAATTCCAATACGGATCCTAATCCTGATTCAGATCCTGAGGCTCCGATCCGGATCCCAGCAGCCTCCGTTGGCGTGGGGGGAAGCCAGGGTCCCCGTGCCCCCCACCGAGCCGAACTTGTGCAGCTGCATGCGGCGACGGGGCCCGGCTCAGCTCCAGGGCAGCGGAGGGGTCGAGCCCCATCGGCCGCACGTCCACGCCAGCCCCCGGAGCACAGGGCCCCAGCCCCCACACACCGGCTGGGGTCAGGAGTCCGGCCTCCCACTGCCCAGGCCGTCTCAGGCCTCCTGGATGCCAGGACCCCCATTCAGGCAACACCAGCCGGGGCCAGATCCCAGCCTGATCGCGGCCCAGATCCATGACGAGTGCCAAGGCCTCAGCAGCTGCTCAGGCTGACCCTGGCCAGGCCCAGTGCACGCCCCTGCGCCCCACACCGCAGCCTCGCCCGCGGGAGCAAGCACCGGGGACCACGTGGGGCTAAGACGCGCTGCCCCCCCCCGCAGCTCGGGGGAGCTCGTTTCCCTGTCAGTGCACAGAGGACGCCTCCGCTCCGCTCGCGCGGCTCCCACGCACACCCCCAGCCTGACGGCACCCGCAGCTGCAGGCACGTGGGAGCTGCCCGCGGGAAGGAAAGACCCCGCGCAACCCCGCCGGAAGTGCTGGGCACCTCGCTCTGAACGGGCCCTGCAGCCCCGCCGGCTCCAGAAGGGTCAGCCCACAGGACACGGGGCTGCTCGGCCTCTGCTGGGGGGCTTGCATCAACTGCAGCCATGCCAGGCAGCCCACGGCCTGCCACACCACTGCCCGCGCCAGCCCTGGCAGCTTCCTGCTGTGCCGCGGCCTCCGGTCGTGGCAGCCTCCTCCCGGGGGCCGCGGCTGCCCCTCGGGCAGAAGGCCTCACAAGGCACCTCGCCGCAGCCTCTGCACAGTGCTGCGGGCCGCTCTCGTGCCCCCACACCGTGCCCCGAGCCCCGCGGGGCTAACCCCCCACCCACCTCTCCCGGCCCAGCGCACAGGGACGGAAGAACTCTTCCTTCCTACTCACTTCTCTAGGCCCTCGCAGCGCCGGGGAGCCATGGAAGGGAGCGTGCACCAGACTCACACCCGAGCCATCCCCTGGCCGGGCGAGGTGGTGGCTGGGCCCCGCAGGGCTCCCCGGCAGCCCCCGCCTGGCCCGGAAGCAGCTCAAGGCAGCTGGGGCTGGGCCCAGGGCTTGGGTGAGCAGCGGAGCGGTGACAACAGGAAGCAAGCCGCACGCCCCGAGCGAGCCGGAGCCAGCGAGCACGTCAGCCTGGCAGCTCGGCTCTGTTTTGTTTTGCCGAAGCACGTCGCCTCGGCCTGACCCTGCCCCCTTAAAGGGACACGTGTGGCTCGGAGCCGGAGCGGGAAGGGCTTCCTGGAGCCAGCCCTGCACCCAGGCCACGGCTCCCCAGGGTGCCCCCCGTGCGACCCACGTCCCTGGAGACCAGCACAGGTAGCAGGCGGGATGCAGGATGCCACTGCGAGGCTGCGCTGGCCTGGAGGGACCTAGGAGCACCCTGCCTGTTCTCCAGACATCGGGGCTGGCAGAGCTCTGGGGGGCCACCTCTCCAGCCCCCCCATCCATGCCAGCCTGGGCACACGTTGGTCGTGCCTGCTCTTCACCGCCCCAACCCCGCAGGAAACCTGCACAGGCCTCGGCAGCGGGGGAGCTCTTCCTGCCCCCCTGCACTCACCACGGTCCTCTGGCCGCGAAGCAGGAGGCTCTTGCAGAGAGAAGCGTGCCGCCAGGCCAGCGCCAACCGCTGACCGGACACTGCCACACGGGGCAGCGGGGACCCCGGCAGCAGCTCATGCCAAAGGACTCCGACGGGCAGCACCTCTCCCACAGTGCAGCCAGCATGAGGAAGCCTCAGGGCCAAACGCCCAACGCAGGGCATGGGCCCAGCAGCAGAGCCATCCACCACGGTCCACCTGCACCAGGAAAACCTCCCCAGCCCGGAGCCCAGCCTGGCCGAGCCAGCAGCACCTGCACAGGCTTCCCGCCCCCAGAACTGGACCAAGCCCTGCCCTGCGCAGGAGACGCACGGAAGCTGCTGACGCCCTGGGCCCGGCCGACCCCCAAGCACCACGGGCCCCAGGGCAATGCCCCCGACTAGGGAGCTGTCGGCCACCAGCATGTGGAAACACCCACGGAAACACTGGGCCAAAGACAACAGCAATCCCCCGTGCAGCCCAAACCACAAGCTGCTGCCACAGCCCCGGGACACCCAGGCAGCAGTGGGCACACCAGCCCCAGGCTCACCCGTACACGGCTACACCTCACAGCACACGCATCTCCAAGTCCTGCTGCCCTGCAGCTCTGTCCACAGCCCGCCTGCCCAGGACACGGGCTTCCCCCTCCGGGGCCCTGTAGCCAGCAGCTCGCGAGTCCCAGTGCTCTCAGGAAAGCCCAGAGAGCCGAGTCCAACAGGCCGGCAGCACGCACACGCGCACACCCCACCCCGGGCATGGGGCTCGCTGGAGCCACCCCATCGGGGATGCCCCGTGGCTCAGCCCAGCAGTGTACCCTCCCACCTCGCCGGCAGAGAGTCCCGAGGCTTCGTTAGGAAACGAAGGTGCTCCAGAGCCCCGCCGCTCCGGCCCCGAGTCGTGCGCGGCCCCCGCAGCCCCACGCCTCAGCAGGCAGCGCCCCAGGTGACTCTGCATTGGTCTGCATCCCCCAACTCGAGGCCCGGAGCCAGCTCCCCCCGCCAGCCGCTACCTGGCCCCGAGCGGGTCCGTACACCAGAGACAATTCCACTTCCCCAACGTCGCTTCCACTTGATGTAAAATCCATAGTCCCGATCTCATTAGCCAGCTCCGGGCTTCACAGCTCGATCAGTTCCCCTGCCCCGGGCCCAGGCAGGCGGGTGCAGCCCCTGCCCCAGCAGCAGCCTCTGGGGACAGGCGCCCCACAAGCAGGAGCTGCCCCCCAAAGCCTCCCCTTGATTTCAGCAAGGGGGGCCCAGCTCACGGCAGCCAGCGGCGGGGGCCAGAGGCCAAGCGCAGCCACAAGGCTCCAGCCAGCCCAGCCTGAGCCACAGGACTTGGGGTCCCCCCCACACGGCACAGCACGGCCAGGCAGGAGCAGCGCTGTTGTCAGACCCCCTGGCTGTGCCCCGTCTGTCCCACCCCGACACAAGCGCCCAGCCCCGGGGACGCCAGCCGCTGCAGGGCCCTGTCCACTTTCAGCACTGAGGAAACGTGGCAGAGGTGGAGCGGAGGGGCAGAGGGCTCTGCTAAGCCAGGCTGCAGCTGCCAGGCAGGCCAGCCCCTGCCCAGCCTCCACAGCACCTCTGCTACGCCAGCCACACGGCCCCCCGCCCCGCAGACCCCGCTCGTCCCGCGAGCTGGGAGCAGGAGGGCACGTGGCAGGGGTGGCGCGTCACCGCCCCACGTGCCAGGCTCGGGGGCCCGCAGCCCCGCGCAGCGAGCCTGGCTTCGAAACGAGCGCCGGGGCGATGCACGAAGGTGCCG